AAACACGAATGAGATAATCCAATTATCTTCCACCAGGTCTCGTAGACGCTCTGCCAGCAGTGCCACGGAAAGCGTGACCCGGCCATTTATACGTTCAAAATGCATTCTGGGATGGCGGTGTGCAAATCACATTGGCAGCTTCTGGGGGGGGCGCTGCTAATGGCTAACAAGGAAGGTCATTAGTTTCCGAAACAAACGCAGATTAGCTACAGCACTATGAAAGCAGAAGACTCGGTCTACAGAGCTGCATATTCTTCCTGAAGCACTTTTAGCTAACTGCCCCATCCAGGGTCATGGCAATGGCACCACAAGCATCGAAGCGTCATACTAACGGATAGTGAGGCCAACGTTCCACAAGCGGCGACCAAGGAGCGGGAAACATCCTTCCTACGTGGCGGGGCTTTTCAAACACATCCTCCAAAACATCACAAAAAACACAGTTACTCAAGCCTGCTGGCATCAGTCTGTAAACAAAAAGTAATTAGACAGGAAAGTCATCAGCGTGCTCTGCTCCCTCCGCGTTACACAACACGCCGCGTCGCTAACGAGAGGGCGCAGGGATAGGCGCCGGGGCTGCAATGCCGCTGAGGCACTGCGCCTGCAGTCACGTGACCGCTCTCCAGCTATATGCAAGCTCCACTTAAAGGGAAAATTTCACACTGCGATCGTGTGCCGTTGCCTCACATCATGCCCGTCTGCGCGGCTGCTGTCAGAGGGCTGCAGAGCGCCTTTCTGCCGCATTAGGCTGCGCCACACGCTTTTAGCTGCAAGCAGCCTCAAACTAAATTAAAGAACCTCTCCTTGTCATTTAATAACCGAAATAGCCTTTAAAGGACGTTAAAGGATCCAGGAAGTAACACAGTGCAGTTTTGAATCACGTTTTTCGCCATTAAAAACAACTATTTTTGGGGTCAATGTCTGATACAGAGCGGTAGTGTGAGGCTCAGCGGGTTAGGCTTAGGGTGCTGTGCCTGTGATCGGAAGGTCGTTGGTTCAAATCCCACAGTCAGTAGCGTAATGTGACCGTTAGGCCCTTGAGTGAGGCCCTTAACCCACAGGGACTGTTTGACCCCACTCTCTCAACAATATGCACTGCTTTGGAAAAACACATCCAAACCAGGGGTCATGAGACAATTTCAGTATGATTGTGATTAATAATAAAGGGGAACTTCCCCCACCCACAACCCCACAGATGGGGTTGCGATCGCAGTCTCTGGCACTGTTAATTTGAGGGTCGTGGGCTACAAAGTTTCAGAACCCATGTGCTAATTGACTGCAGCTGCAAGTCAGACTCACCGAAATGAATGTCAGAGTTACTGCAGCATGTTACACAAACAACAACAACAACAACAACAACAGAGCACAAGGAGAGGCTGCACATTGCAGTCTCCCCCAGCCCCCAGAGCGGCCCCTTCACGCTGCGGTCTGCCTGGCCGGAAGTTCGCGTCTACCACAGAGCCCAGAAGCTTCCATCTCTCCTCCTCATTAACACCCCCTCCAGGTCAATTAATCAAACCCCCCGATCCTCGGCTCAGAGTTAGCGAGTCTCGAGGCCATCCTCATTAACGCCCACTCCCGCCCGTCCGACGGATCGCAGGCTCTCGTTCCCTCGCGAACGCTGCCTCACGCCTATGCTTAGGTTAGTGTAAAAACCGCAAGGATGTCAGGGAGATGCTGGGGGAGGTCTCTGAACGCGTCCCCAAATGGATCAATACGTAACCGGTGACATCACAGTAATGAACTTTTAGAGTAAAAACACATGGAGTGGCAGGAAACCCTCAAAGCACCGCGATCAATTAGCACCTGTGTTTTATCAGGTATTTTGTACGCCACTCACTACGGAGATCCCGCTGGCAGTGACTGGCGCACACAGCCACACATCAGCGCGACTGGGCTGACGAACGCGGGCAGAGCGTCAAGCATCGCCACGGCACCGCCGACCGGGTCAGACGCGTCAGGAAGCTGGACGAGGGAACCACCTCCCTGTAGCCACCCATTACTCATCCCGACATGCGGTGTCGGAATGGCCCGCGCTAATGCAGACCCCCCCCCCCCAGACCTCAAAAGTGTCAGAATGAGGGGGGTCTCAGCTGCACGCCTGTTGACAACGTGCACTTTGGGGAAAATGATACCTGAAAGTAAAGAGGGACACAATGACACCCACATCAGGATTATTTAATACTACAATCTACACAAACCCGAATTCGACGCTTAACGTGTAGCTCTGATGGAAGCTGCCTTCTCCTTCCACAGCCAGCAGGTTTGACAGGGCAGCTGCTCTCTCTCCCACCTTGTTCTTTCGGTTCCTGTCAGCGGTTTAGTTGAACTGCACATGCTGGACTCTCTCTGCATAATAGAGGCTCAAACGAACGGCATTCATAAAGTGACATTCACATAACTCTGCGTTCGCCGTTCGCCCCGGGGACTTGCGTCCTCAACATTTCATGCATAGTAATATGCGCTGCTCAAGTTTAACACTGTTGGCATGAAAATCACATCCCAAATGAAATCTGAAGGAAAGATCATATGCCCCTAAACTGAGGCACGACATAAAAGTGATCAGATTACCAAGAGACAAGACATCTGTGTGCTTGGTGAAGCAAAACCATTGAGGTTCTGTTTAAAAAATTACAGGCTCTCAGTCCTTCTTCTACACGGAATGTCAGTCAGAACTGGCTTTTGGACAATGTTCAAGAAGAAATAGGGTCTGGGGTATCAAGTTAGAGATTCTAGATTGATGGCTCTTGTTGGAATGACTCCGGTGAGAGTACCTTTGAAATGACTCATTTAAATGACTCTGCAAAGAGTCATCTCAGAGAAGACTTTCACTAAAGTGACTCTGAGAGAAGACTGGCAAAGTCCTTTTCAAATGACGCTTCATTAAAACAACTGGAAAGAGTACATTTGAAATTGCTCTCATTAAAATGATTCTGGAGAGAGTCCTTTTTAAATGACTCTCAGAGAAGACTCACATTAAAAAAGGCTCTGGAGGGACTGACTTTGAAATTACTCTAAAGACGACTCTTTGGAATGATTCTTTGGAGAAATCTAGCAAATAGAATGCAGAAGAATATTACAGCCGAGCTTTGGCACAAGAATATCACTTTATCATTAAAATGTAACAGAATGTGTGTAGTTCTAAATGCTAAATAATTTAATATATGCAAAACCCACTCATCCATCCATCCCTTAACCACTCATCCTGGTCGAGGTCACAGAGACCACTTTTTCATTACTTTTGCTAATGTGCAATATTAGGATCACCCAAAGCACAGATATTCATTGCTCATTATTTTTAAATCTCACTTTATCACAGGAACAAATCAGAAGGCGCCGAATGCACCAACTTTCTCATATAGCCCCTCAAAACCCTTTTAGCATAAACACCACTCTTCATGTCCCCTCCCTCCGACACTTATCCATCACTCACAAACGGGTGTGTGTTTGTGTGTGTGTGGGGGGGGGTTTGCAAGTCTCTTGCAGCTTCAGCTCCAGTGCCACTAAGCAGACCCCCCCAGCCTCGTCTGTTTCTTCCAGAAGCTTCTGGGCCCTAGTGCAATGAGTCAGCACTGCTCACAGCTGTGCCGCTGCCATCCTATTAATCTCTCTCTTTAATTTGTCCTGATGACTGACCTGTTTTGGTTTATTCCGTCCTTGAACTGATTACAAATAATCGATGGGGAAAGGGCCCCTCCCTTTTCTTTTAAAGACTCCTGTTATTACTCATAAGCATAGTTTGGCCAGCAGAATCCAAGCCACGTGGTCAACGTCTGTCCTCTCACAAGGCAAACATACAGTAGTAAATAGTATCATAGTAACAAACTATTAATATAGATCTGTGGACGTTCCACGGCGTTAGACTGTCCAACCTGCTTAATCCTGACCGGGAAACATTTATCTATTCCTGTTACGTACGTGACAAATTTTCTCTGTAATTAATCAAACTTGAGGTCTCCAGTTTCGGGGGACACTGCTCTGTGATGTGTTTGTTTATTACTGTTTGTTTATTACTGTTTGTTTATTAGATAACTTTGTCTAACTTCGTACTGTCTATCCCAGAATCTATGGGCGCAAATAAATACGTATACCTATATAATATTTAAAGATTTTAAAATATTAAAAGTATTTAAATTCACATATTACTAAAGGGTAAACATTACTTTTCGAGTATCACAGGCTTCCCGATGTCTTATAGCCTAATAACGCGACACACTGGGCGACACCGTGCAGCTGGACAGATGTGAGGCCCCGACACACTTTCCTGTTCCCGGCAAACTTTAACCCACCCTGATCCCACCTGTATTTTTTGGCGATATCTGTCAAACACTGCCTCTTAAAAACCCCATTTTGACGGCTGCAGTAAAGTAGATCTGTTTATAACGTGTTTATCGCTTACTTGCATGTTCGGTGTTTTTTCAAACCTGGGCCAACTTAGTCAATACAGGCCTATCGGATTTCGGGATATTATCCTATTATTGCGGAGAAATGCAGCCGGCAGTAGAGGGAAGGGGAGGCTAATTCAGCTTCTGCAGTAATGCGCTGCAGCGACAGTATTTTTAGCAGCGTTTCTTTAAAAGTTCCCGACGGGTAAAGTGCAATGATCCCCCCCCCCCCGCCAAGGTCCCGAAGCATGCAGGCAAAAGCTGCGCAACAGCCGAAGTATGCGACTCGGCAACAATCCGAATCTGTTTTACATTTATTTATCACCCCTTCAAGCCCCAAAATAATATAGAAATCGAAAACTGCAAAATAACGTACTGCATGGGGGGGTGGGGTGGAATGTGTACAACAACATGCCTCTGCACACACGTACTGTATGGGGGGAAAGCATGACGGCAAAACGACTCTGTACACTTAAAAGTTAACATTTTCGGAGATCCGCACGCAGCAAGCCAATGTCATCAGTCCAAAGGCTGTCAACGTCGCCACTTCCCACTAAAGAGTCTGTTTGCACGGAGCCCGACGAGCATTAACAGGCTGTATATAACTGCAGATCTGACCTTTGGCTCCGCCGTTTTCTCCAAGCAAATCTGTCCGATCGGCAAAAGTGTCTTTGAAGTAAACTTCTCTGGGCGACGAGGGCCACATTCGACTGGAAACCGCGTCTCGGATGGACCGGGCGCCCTTCCCGGTGAATGACAGGACGTAATCCATACTTTCTTCTTGTGCTGCGATCTCCCCGTATGAGCCTGGAAAAGTGACTTTAGTTTTATTAATAAGCAATATGCAATTAAAAATCTTCTTCTGGAGGTTGTTATTGCTGCTGAATAGGCGCCATGTTAAGGTAATCCGCAGGCAAACTATGTCAACCAAATGCCACAACGCCGAAAGTCTTCAAACAGGAACTGAAACAGAAATAAGGCAGCTGCAAAAACTTTTTTTTGATTTGCGTGGCGGCGCTATATCGCAGCCTCTGCAGCCCCAGCGGCAGACCTGCTAAATAACCTGTATTATTTTAGTTACTAGTTAAATCTACGGTTATACAACCGTCAGCAAATGATCTCCGATAAGTAAACCGCAATGGTGTCACTTTAAAGGAGCGGCGCAGGCGAATTCTGCCGAAAAGCGTCGCTTTTCAACATGTTTCTCGATATGCATTTACCGACAATCTTCAATGTCAATATTAACTTATTTAATGCAAAAAGTTGATAAGTTTCTGCCCAAAAAGTACACGAGAAAAATGTCTTGCTATCTGTGTATGTTAGAGAAAATTAATGATTTCAATGTAAAAAAACTGAAAAATACACATATCATTTTGAAGTACAGCATAGCTTACTAATTTAAAAATCAAATGTTTAATAACCTTTTAATATATGCTTTGAAATGGAAATTAAATGTTATGAATTATTCATCTATAGAACTATACTGGCAGGGTATAGGTTTTTTTTTTCCTTCCAAAAATGACAATTACAAATACTGAGAGCTACATATATATATATATATATATATATATATATATATATATATATATATATATATATCATCCGTAGTTTTCGGGTAATTCTCTGTGAAGTACTGTCAAACATTTTCGCGATCGTTAACAGCTCTTACAACATTTCCACAAATGAATAGCCTACATCTGTAGAAAAACAAAGCAAACTGAGCTATACTATTGCATCACAAACAAAAAAAAATTAACGTTTGTTGACGACGACACTAATACTGTAAGTTCCCTGCTGTCCATTATGCAAATACTGTAACGCGTTAACACCAGCACCAGATTCTTTTAATGCGATGTCATACGTTTTTCAAACTTTTTTTCAGAGCTAGAAAAACACACCTGTCTTTACTGGTCTTTATCTGCATAAGCTATTTGTTGTGACACTTATTGCATGATGCTTTTCTTATAGAAAGGTTGTGAGCAGTCAGTCACTCACTCGTTCACGAAAGGTTTAACAAAAGGCTTTGACAGAAGATATGACTGCTCCTAGTTTTCAAGGGCAACTTTAAATTACAATTTAATGACTAATGACTTTAACATTATATACATCATAAAGGCCCATCAACTGGTAGCTTTAATATCACGTATCAGAAGGATCTTGGAAATGCTCATCTTTGTCTGCCTCTGAACCCTGGTTAAGACATTATAGAGCCTCCGGTACTTTCTTTACCAGTATTACACTGCAGTGGATGATTCCGTCATTTACCTACTTAACAGAACCTTCACCCATCCAGACAAAGACTTTTTAAGGACTGAGTTCACTCTAGTGCGTTCTACACTGAGTAGCCTGTTTTGTTGAAGATGAAGCTTCAAGTGGACACATCCATTGTGTCCTGGTCTCCCTAACCCACACATCACAGGTCATGAGACTTGAACCATGACGGTCTCAGTACTGTTGCAGCAGTTCAATCAGTCTGTGGCAAGAGGTAAAATCTTCCATGCAGTAGTTTGCTGGGGCAACAGCATCACAACAGGGGAGGCCAACGAACTCAATCAACTTATCAGAAATGCAGCTTCTGCTCTGGGAACTGACCTGGACTCCCTGTAGGAAACGCTCAGCATGCTGGACAATGCCTCACGCCTGCCATACCACACTCAAACAAACAAAGCAACAGCTTCAGCTTCAGAGCCATCGACTATGCTGTTCCTGGGACTGCTCCCGGAGGTCGTGTCTGACAGCTGCCATCGGACTCTACACTACAGCGACCCCCCCGCCTCCCCGACCGTGCACTGCCAAACTGACTGGAGGCTGGACCGAACCATGAATCACCATATTTTTGCACATATTTCCTGTTTATTTCAAATACCAAAGTACCGATATTGATAGAAGCGATGTAGAAAGAAAAGTCAAGCAATGCAAAAAGAAAATCATTAGGAATAAAGATTTAATAGTTTACTTAATTACGTTGCGCATAGACATAGTGATATGTGTGTATAACATATTAGAAAGCGCACACACCTTGCCCCATCTGCTGGTCCGTCTTTGTATTGCAGGTTGACATCTTGGAACGATGTCCCAAAGCAAAACATTTTTAGCAAGTATTATTGTCACATTTTTTTTATACCAGGGACAATTTCCAAGTTCCTTTTAAAGTTAAGCCGACAATCACAAATATAATCATTTTCGGAGAATCCGGACGAGGGTTTAACCATGAGCTGAAAATGCAATGAGTCTTAATGAGCAACGAGAGCCGCACCGCGAGAAAGGCAGAGACAAGGTAGCGGACTGGGACATGGCGAGCTGTTCCGTCGCCAGACGTCAAACAAGCCCACACTAAACACCAGCCTACAGACACGCCCGACACAGCCTACCTGTTTTATATGGGCGCAAAACAATGATGAAGGTTGAGCAACAAGAAAGAAGACATAACGCCATCATAGTATCATCAATAATATTTTCAGCTTTCTGCCTCACTTAGTTAAATATATATTTATATACATATATTCGCGTTTACCTGTCAAAATTTGCACACGCCAAGCCGCCTACAAAGGAGAGTAATTGTGTCCCATCACATGACCTGCTCACCTGACCTAAACACAGCAGAAAAGGTTTTGGAGGAGTTTGACCATGCAGAGAGTGAAGGAAAACCAGCAAATAAGTGCTCAGCATATATGTGGGACCTCGTTCAGGACATCTGGAAAAGCATCCCATTCTAAATCCACAGGCATCAATATGGAGCTGGTATGGAGGTATCTGTGGGAATCTTTGCGCATTCATCCAGAATAGCGTTTGTCAGATCAGGCACTAGTGTTGGACGTGAAGGCCTGGTTTTCAATCTCCATTCTAGTTGATCCCAAAAGGGGTTCGATGAGGTTGAGGTCAGGGCTCTGTGAGGGCCAGTCAAGTTCTTCCACATCAAACTCACCTAACTATGTCTTTATCGAACCTCCTCAGTTGATGCCAATGGAATGTACATTGGTGGACAGTCACACTGGAATGGAAAAGGGCCTTCCCCAAAATAGTTGAAAGCATAGAACTGTCCAAAATGTCTTGGTATGCTGAAGCATTAAGAGTTTACTTTACTGGAACTATGGGGCCTGGACCAACCACTGAAAAACAACCCCATACCATTATCTCTCCTCCACCAAACTTTACATTTGGCACAAAGCAGTCAGGTAGGTAACGTTCCTCCTGGCATCCGCCAAACCCAAACTCGTCCATCAGACTGCCAGACAGAGAAGATTCATCATTCCACAGAACACGTTTCCACTGCTCCAGAGTTCAGTGTCAGTGTGCTTTACACCACTGCATCTGATACTTGCCATTAAACTAGGTGATGTGAGGTTTGCATGCAGCTGCTCGGCTATTGAAGCCCATTCCATGAAGCTCCCAATGCACAGTTTTTGTACTGGGGTTACTGCCAGAGGAAGCTCGGAATTCTGCAGTTACTGAGTCAGAGCGCTGGTGACTTTTACACACTATGGGTTTCAGCACTCGGAGACCCGCTCTGTCACTTTACATGGTCTGACACTTCATGGCTGAGTTTCTGTTGTTCCTAAATATTTCCACTTTGCAATAATACCACTTACAGTTGACTGTGGAATATCTAGCACGCAGAAAATTTCATGAACTGACTTACTGCAAAGGTGGCATTACCAAGTTTGAAGTCACTGAGCTCACAAATAGCTGTAAACCTGTCTGCATGTCTAAGTGCTTGATTTTTACACACCTGTGGCAATGGGTCTGAATGAAACACTTGAATTCAATGATTAAGGGGTATGTCCCAAAACCTTTGTCCATATAGTGTGTGTGTATAAAATAGCTACCCATTATTACCCTAACTAACACAAAGCGACTTCACCCAGTTGTTGAACATCACCAATATCATTCCGCAATATACTTTGCTGTAATTAAGCAACGGTTTAATTCGAACACCAGTATAAAACATCCGCTCGATCCTCTTCAGGGACATTAAATAAAATGAACCTTGTTAAAGCAGAAAGATTAAAGGATACAATTACTATTCATTGTTCAACAGAGGGCTGCTTCATTTTGACGTATTTCTCTTCGCAAATCGCGACTAAGGGGAATTAGGTTACATTAAACAGGAAAGATATTAAAAAGGCAGCGATGTGTCACCGTAGGCAAGGAAATGAGAGTGGGGGCAAGGGGGTGTGTATCTACAGAGCTTCAGTAAATACTCAATGGCAAGCTAGCATGAAGTTTATTTTCCCTTTATGTAAAAAGTTTTAGCAAGAAGGTATAAATAAGATTTCGATGAGTGGCTTCAGAACTGTTCAGAATATGGTATTGGTCTTTGTCTCTTTATGGTGAACCAGAACAATGATGAATATGGCATGTAAGAAAATGTGAGCCACAGGGAAAACAAAGAAGTCGATTCTTGATCAAACCAAGCCAGAACTTTCAGCTGAAGGTCTACAACCTTCAAAGATCCCCCAACCGCATGCATTCAAAATTGCCATAAGCTTAAATTCTTACTTGACTTATGCCTGGAAAATCACTTAAGTGCCTTTGAAATTACACATCCTGGCTTATAGCAAGTGGCATTTGCAATTCCCAGGCATTCATTGGATGGAGTAGTGTACCAATCAAGGCCCTGCATCATTTTTGGAAAGGTCAACTGTAAAGCCCCTGACTCCTCAAGCAGAGAAATAAAAAGTAAACTATTTTATACAGGCAACTATTCTATAATGACCCCCCCCCCTCCGACCCTGGGGGTCTAAGACTAAATACTAGGCAGGGAGCTGCCCCCAATCTCTGCTAATCACCGTTTCAACTCCAGGCCTTTATATACATTTGTTTTTTTTTGACAGCATCTTAACAGTCAAATTATAGTGAGCTTTGGCTCACTAGTGTGCACCATTAATTGAAATCATGGGGTTTATTCTTGGACAAGAATACTTGAGAGAGTTAGAAGAACGTATCTCCAAAATAAATGACAGTGTTGTTTTGTACTATAAAGACATATTGCTTCTGAGGCCTTTCTCTGCATTAAGCAGAGTCATTTTAATTCATGAAATATGTTAGCTACATTTTTCTAGAAGACACACAGGCCTTAAGCTATCGCTAAATGGTCCTAATGGACATCGTCTGCCATTTCGGAATGGGGGCATTTTTTTTCAGCCAGCTGATGGGGCAACTGAAAGAATATAATTGGTATAATTACGTTTGCCATGGTCTGTGGGGGAGGGGGGTAGCAGGAAGGCGGGGCATGAATGCTTGTCCCCCAGAAGACCCAAGTAAAAAACGGTTTATCAGCAAACCAAAAACACACATGCAGTCAGCTCGGGAATTATTGGCAACTTTCATGAAAAGGGGCAAAATATGACTGCAAAACGTGAAACACTGTACAAACGTCAGGGGAATAACACGACACCAACGACGGACCATCGAATGGACCTGGGTGGGTCTCCACACTCGGAACCCCTTCGCTCATGTTAGGTCAGTCCAGATGGATTGTGGAGTCCCTTAATGAGGTTCAATAGTGTCCTCAAGCTAGGCGTCATTAGTCCAGGGAACTGCCAGAAATCAATAACTGCAGTGACGAAAACCCTGGAGAGTCACGGCCTGTTGTCAGACTGTTCCTCTGTGTCTCACCCTTACAAATAAGATCATATTAAATTGACTGCATTTGAGCCTTGCTGCAATGACCACTGGACGTATAACAATAGCACAATTACCAGGTGTAGCTTACACATCTAATTAAAAGGACAGTTGGGCAATGTTTACCTTCGAAAAAGTGTTCATTTTGCTCTGTTGAAGCATCAGAAGAACCATCAGAAATATCTCTCTGGCCTGCAAGCTCCTGGTTAGTGTGTTTTGATCTGTTGAAAGTATCGCGCCAAGCCAGCTCATGTTTGCCATAAAAGCATTTACTGGATCTGCCAGTCTGGTTGGTTTTTAAATGCAAATCCCCATGATAAATCAAGTCCCTGTTTGGTCTCCTGCCATCGACTAAAGCACATGGATATGCATCATATTTCCTAATTTACTGTAACCATGTCCTCCAGCGGCCACTTCAGGAACAAAATAAAGTGCGAAGGAACCAAACTAAATGGAAAATGAGACTGAGACAGAGACTTAAGAGGCCAAAGAGTCACAGTTTGGTGGAGACCGACGTTTGACCAGACAACAAGGAAAGAGAGGAGTTAAGGACAGCTTGCCCAATCTCTTGTCACTGTGTGAAACCATCTTTGGTTTTCATTCCCACCTCTGACAACCAACAAGCCCCAGACGGGTGAAAGGGTCAGTGTGAAACCTCAGAGAGCCTCTGAGTTCTGCTTTCACAAGCCGGCCACTGAAATACTCCAGGAACATGAGGAACTTGCTAATCTCTCTTAGCTGTTCCTCTTCTGCACTTTAAGTAGCTTTGATATTCTGAAGAGTGGAATCAAAGGCTGAACTAAGTTCATATTTTCACTCAGATTTCATACCAGCCTTCCGAATATCCTGGAGCAACTGTCCAATAGCTAATAGCAATTAAAACAAAGAACAAAATTGACATAGTAAGTCAGCTATCAATTACTATCAATAGTTGCTAACAGGAAGGAAATAACAGCCAATCGTATATAATTCCCTTTAGCGTAACGCTGTATTTACGACATACATTATCTATGCCAAGGGGGTACTTGTGATGGACGGTCAAATTTGTAGCACCAACACAGTAAATTTAGCCAAGCTGCTATACAAATTAAAAGGAGGACTTAGAAGGGCCTGCAGGTACAGTTTCCTTGAACACGTTAGCATGTGGCTACCTGCGCAAAGCCTTAGAGGTGTAAGCAGGCCTGGTTGTTCAGTCGCTCCCTTTTTTATAGGAAAAAGCCCAGCTTTTATTCCCAGGGCCGTCAGCAATCCGTGGCAGACTTTTCGAACAGCGTTACACACATGAATATTCATCGAGTACAAATATGAATAAATTCAGCCGTAATTTCTGCCGCGGTCTGGCCAGGATGTGCCAAAGCGACGCTGAATCATCCAGTTATCTGAAGGAATCTGCTTCGCTCCCCAGATAATTATTAAAGCGACAGGCGCCGGGCTAGATAGCCCAGTTTTTCATCTATAATTGAATGTTACCACAGTGATACACGGAAAGCGTGAAGCTTTTTAAAACATGTTAGCGGAGCAGTTGCTCGCCATAACCACAAATGCAAGACTTGAAAGCTTCTCCCAAAGGATGATCTACATAACGCTTTGACTGTGCTGTAAAAGCGAAACTGGGTGTATAGATACAGAGTCATCCCCGAGGGATATTTCAACATTAGTGCTGATACAGCAACACAAGGACTCAAATGTAAACTAATTGGAGACTAGGTGAGAGAGATATGTGTCACGGGCGTTCGGACATTCAGCACTAGATAAACGCTGCAACTAATAAGATGGGCCGTGAGTCTGTGGCACAGTGTCTTCAATGTGTGCTGGCTTCTGACTTGCTTTAGAGACTCATCGTGTTGAGTGGTGATCATAGAAAATGAATCAGCCCTAGAAGGGCAACTCCTAAATGGCGCACCCCTTCCCCATTTGCCCTACGCCATCCAATCAGCTCCGGTGTTGTTAATTTAGAAGCGTAACAATGGACCCTGATTATGGGCCGCCATGGTTCTGCTTGAAAGCCGGGGTGTGGATGTCTTGAGAGCCAATCCCACCCAAGACAATCGGTGCCATGTTGCTCATCTCATTGTGGCATTCGGACCAGCTAGAGGCTGTTCTACCATTCGACATTGTTATGGGGTCCAACCAGGATTTCTGAAGACAGTAAATGGCCAATTCAAAGAAAAAATAGAACAAGAGTCAAATTGCTGTTTCCCAAATAGTGATCTGCTTTCGGCAGTGAAAGGTCCTCTTTGTCGCAGATGAATCCAGTCCATTGGGACCCGTTACCCTTATTAGCTACCAGTGGTCTGTATCAGAAAGGCCACACCCACTTGCATCTCATTGGATACATTATCTTAATCACAATTCCCTTCACCTTACTGGTGCTTATACATTCCAAGAGGTGGGTTCTGTTACAGGCAACCAGGAAAAACTTTGAGAGAAAAAAATATGTTCATTTGGAGTGGTGCACCTTTTCACTATGCTTCCTATGAGGGAGTAAGCACTCTCCTTCCCACCCAGATGATCTTGCACAGTTCTGTGAGCCTTCATTTATCGAACGCCCTGCTTCATCCCGGGACAGCCGCAGGGCGCCACTCAAGCCTTCCCAGAATCCCCCAGGCCGCGCCAAGGAGCCTCCCTTAATGAGAAAGCAAAAAAATAAAAAATAAACAGCTCAGCATCTACCGACCCTTGCAGAACCACGCTCGAGCTTTGCTGGCCTTCAGTACATGCTAGGGTTATGACCTCATAGAACTGGGGGGGGGGGGGGCAGCGGGACTCCTCCCTCACACACTGTAGCAGGTCGCCACGGGCCAAAGGAGCGGCAGAAAATTGCAAGACAGGCGGATGATGCAGCCATGCCACCACTGTGACCTTCCACGGCCGGTATCCGCAGGTTTCCTGGTCCAGAATATAAAAACACTGGCCTGCAAAATAAATTTAAAATGAATATTCAGTAGAGGTGTGTCTGCATTTCCAACACATGACCTTTTGTTCCTGTCAGACAGTCCACCGTACAATTACGGTATTGTTAGGGTTGCCATATGGGTTAGATCCATATATGGGGCAAGAATGACCAGTAAACAGGAGCCAAAATGATCCAGCACCTCCGAGAATAACTAACAGCTATGTAAAAAATGCTAGTATGGGCCGGGGGGTCAAGCCCCAGGTAAAATTGACATCAGCACTAAAATACTGGGGGCTAGGTTTAAAATCCTCGGGGCTAAAATACTCGGGTCTATAGCCCTGAGGGATCGGACCTAGCGGTGCCGATGG